TGGATGGTTAATACTACGTAACATTTAACAAATTGCGCATATAATTTCTTTTAAAATGTCACAAATATTTAAACTATGATCCGTTTATTAATACTGAAAATTTTGAAGTTCAAAGAAGTAGTTCGATTTACTGATTCTGTTAAATTATAAAAATTATATTTAAAGTATATTTCATTAATAAAAATAAAGTAAAAAAATATACTCCGTATATAAGTAACTAAAATGATTATCCATAGTAAGGATGTTTTCTTTTGGACTGTTTTCAGTCCCAGACCAGACCAGACTTGACTTCCGTACTTATAAAATACACAGAGACCAGACGTTTAACAGACCAGACCAAACCAGACCAGACCAGACCAGATCAGACCAGACCAGCAAATTTCAGTCCAAAAGAAAACATCCTAACTTCAATCAATCTCGTGATAATGTAAATCCAACCTTGATTACCTATTTATAGACTAACACAACTCAGCGCCGCGAAATAAATAGTTATGTGTTTAGTTACAAAATTAGCGGATAAGCCGAAAAGTAGGGTCACCAAACGGGCTCATATATACGTATCAAAATAAACCATCAATTTACAATTCGAAATAATGAACTTTCCAATTTAACTCAAATGAGTGCCCAACATCTTTACACTCCGTCAAACATTTTAAGAGTAGTAATAAAATCAAAGATTGAATGCAGATTTTTTAGAAAAAAAATTGAATGTCATTATCACTTGAAAGTTTAAATGTTTTTAGTTGGACTAATTTTTGTCTTAGAGCATATCAAATCAGACCATATTCGACTTTGACAATTATAAACTGCACATAAAACACATCTACTAGAACCGACCATACCCAAAAATTTGAATCAAATTTAACACACTTTCAATTGGGGCCGATTCTCATCTTTACTATCACATTAAAAACACGTCATAAAGATCGAAGAATTTTCCAATCAAATATAACATAATGGTGTTTGTCTTCCATCTCTCAGATTGCAATATGATTGGATTGAGATCATCTCAATTAGAAAACATAGTTAATGTATTACGTGCAAGATTGATCACTTATTGGGATATGTTCATCAACACAACTCAAATCATTTTATTTCTTATGAGCTACGTTTATGCGACACGATGAAAAATGTACCATTAATGCAACTTATACTTTTATTTCAATTTTAGACTCTTTAGTATTTTTCTGATTTAATAAAACAAATTAACTGTATTGCTTTCTTTATAATGGCAATCACTATTACTTTTTTCTTCTTCTAGGGCCCATAGACTTTTATAATTTTATTGGTCATTACTAATTCAATTTTTAAATTGCACTTTTAAGTTTTAATATCATCATCATCATTATCATATTAAAAAATATTTGAACAAAAATTAGTTGGCAAAATGGTTATACGCGCATGACCCATTATATGTTGCAGTTTTATGAGTGAAAAGTAGCAATGAGATGATTTTTTTAAGAGGGGAGAGAAAGGTAAAATAAAAAAAAATCAATGTTGTGTATAAAGTAGTCTTTCAAAATGGTTAATTTTATGTATCAGCCTATGAATCATTGGCACATTCTCAATCATATCTCAATAAAACATTAGCACATATATATTCTTTTTTATATCACGAGTAATATATCAATATTACTTGATTCCATAAATAACTCCAAACCTCTGTTGATATTTATCATTTCAATACCTATCAAAGTGATATCACTACCGAGGCATGCCTCGGGTGTTACACTAGTAATATACTATGTACTTACTAAGTTCCCGGTATACTTTTTATCTTAAGTAGTTCACTGCTCGTTTTATAGCACTCGGCTGGATTAGTTACTTTTTTTACTTGGCTTATACTCATTTAGTTGTACTTTAAAATTTTAGTTTGGTTGTTAAGTTGGAAAACACAAAATTTAGTAGCTTAACTATCAATGCTGATGTTACGGAGAGGGGAGCGGCACAAGGGAAACCCTAATCTTCTCCACATCTTCATTTCTTCCTTTCTTCTATTTTTTCAATTTTACATACGTAGTACGTAGTATATGTTTATTTCCTAGCCTTGTCTAGAGACGTTATATGCGGTGGCAATGTGCCACTTGCCAGGTGTACCATCTCCGCCATCATCGGTTGGTTGTTCACGTGTGCTAGTAAGTAGTAAGAGCTTTGTACCGGCTTCTTCATCAATGAATCTTGATTTCTTCTTCATCATAGAGGCCGATCGCCCCTCCTGAATCACCGCCGATCCAGGAAGATGTAATTGGATGGATTGCTTTTTTTTTCCAGTGGCTAGTGAAATCGGAGCATTTTATGCACTTGACTCCTTACCGGTGGCTGGAAAAACCGCTGAGTTTAATAATTTCTTTTCGGTGGGTAGTTAAACTAGACTCTTTTCGAGTAACATGAGCCGTCACACTGCGATACAAATCTACATGGTTGCTAGGTTAGCGAACATGAGCGCCTGTATGATGGATGTTTTTTTGTTCTTTGTCTCACCCTAGTGACCTAGTTTAGTATTGAACGTTATGATTGTAGACTTCAATTTTTCATTATCATCTTTCTTGTTACTCTAATCAATAATAATTAACTTATTTTCTTTTAAAAAATATCAATGCTAATGGAAAATTCAAATTAATTGACTGCAACAATAATAGTTTTTCCCGTAATAGCTTACACTTTACACAATATCACAATCCCTGCCGCATCAAAGGGGATCGCGCTGATCTTGAGTGAAATTGGCGCCAGCTATTTCCAGCCATTGATTGTGTTCATAGTCGTCTTCGTCATCATATAGCGTCATATCATGGGCGAAGTAATCCCCGGTAGTTTGAATTTTGGAACAAGATCCTGTAACTTTCTAGTTCGTGAGAAATTCTTAAATGTGCAGAAACGAAATTTAGGAAATGCATTTAATTCCACCACCAAATACCGTTGGAATCCATTTATAATCACTCGCTTTTATCCAACTCCCAATCCCCAAATCTGTTCCGTATATTATCTCTTCCTCTTTCAAAATCTCGCCACCGTCGTCAACTTCCGCTGCAAATACATCCCATTCAGAAATTATTTTTTGAAGATAAACGACTCACCTGAATGGAAGGAGTATCGGTTAATGTGTACAAAGGGATAAAGGAATACCTGAAGACGAAGAGGAAAGGTTACGAGAGGCTAAACCGACCCGGCCGGAGACGAAAGTGCAGTATCGAATTGGGTTCCGGCGACGGCGCTGCACGGAAGAAGACGTCGTGGAGGTTAAGGCTGACGCCTAGACTCAAGCTCCGGTTCAAAATAAGCTTTCCCCCCAAAAAAATGCTCATCCGCATCCGGGACGCCTACGTCAACCTGATGCTGCGAGTCGCCAATACGCGTGTCATCGGCGGCGGCATGGGCGGCTTCGCCGCCAGCGGGAACGCCATCTCCAGTTTCACGACTAGATCGGTGAAGGAGTACGATGAGAAGATGGTCATCCAGATCTATAAATCCCTTCTGATAGCGCAGGGCCAAACCCAGATGGTGCCCGGTGATGCGCCGCCTCGAATCGGAACCTCCATCCGATGGGATTAATCCTTCCTAAGACAAAGTTAAAATGAAAGAGTTTTTTACTTTTTACCACACATTTTGTCGTCGAGTAAATTACCCGTTTAAGACTAAAAGTGGACACATAAGCACAAATAGGACTCAAAAAATAAATCCCATTCCGTAGGACTTAAAAGTGCCTTTCTTTCCAATTTTGACCTCCATAATAAAACGCGGCTCGCGTGGAATTCGAAGCGCGAAGGAAAGCATCGGGAGTTGAAAGGGGAAAATATAGCAAACGGTTAGCGCATTTACTATGGAATCAAATATTCCGGCACAAATCTAGCGATTGAAAACTTCCAAAAATACTCGCGCCTGGAGTTGTTCGATTTGAGTTTCCATTTTTGTGCCGCAAAAACAACGAAGAAGAAAGGAAAAGTGCAGTTAAGATGGAAGAAGATGATGATTTTCAAAGTCAGAGCACGAGACGAATGAGCGCTCGACTGAATCCAGTACTCGTAAGTTTTCGAAGTATGCATGTCTTTGAATGTAAACGAAAATGAATAATGGATGTGAAATGACTAATGTTGTTTTAATGTAGTTTTTGTTTGATTTATTTGTTTGATTTATGGAATTATTCAGAGTTTTTTTAATGTAGTTGTTTTTTGATTTGTGGCATTTTCCGCATTTGTTGTTTGATTTTTTGTTTAATTTATGGAATTATGTTGTATGAATGTAGTTGTTGTTTGAGTTCTGATAGTATTCGAATTTGTTGTGTAATAGATGGATTACATTTTGGAAGAAACGATAATTGTGTGTGTTTGTGTAAGTAGTATCTGCGGAAATGCCAAATTCGTGGATGAATTGAGAAACGTGTAGAACAGGGAGTATTTGTTCATTTGAGTATTTATGAGCAGACAATGGAAGTATTTACAATGAATATACTAAAATGGAGTGAATATAGTAAATTTAATTTGGCAGTTTCTGTGTGATATATGTCATAAACAAGTGAAACTTTAATTATGTTTTGGAATGTAAATTTGTGATATATAAATTCAAATTTGTGTGTGTATGTAGCTAAATAGTAAATGCCAAAATAATGGAGGAACTGGGAAAATGTAAAACAAAGAGTATTAGTTGATGAGACTATTGTAGAAAAGACAATAGCATATTTAGAATGAAAAACTACTAAAATGGAATGAATTTAGTTAACTTGGCTTGTGTAAATACTAATTGAGGACTGCCATAGTAGTGGACAAATTGGGAAACATGTAAAACAGGAAGTAATACTAATATTATGATGTCATACTTTACCGCATTATAAAATAGTTGGAGATAGATAGTTGGATACATAATGACAAAATGTTGGAAGAAATATTAATACTGTAGCACAAGTTATGTGAAATACAAATTGAATGGTCATAATTTCAGAAAGAAATATATGGATGATGTCATGGAGCGTGAATTTAATGACACTTTATTTGAACTGGTGATGTTATGGAATAAGGATGTCATGTGTTACAAGATTTTAATTAACAGGTGGAGAGATGTGGAAATAAAATATACATAATGACAAAATATTGGAAGAATTACTAATTTTGCGAAGCAGAAGTTATGTAAATGACAAGTGTAATGGTCATATTTTTGGAAAAATTTATCTACTTACTGCCATGGAGTGTTAAACTATTATGAATGTAATATGGAATAAGAATGTCATGTTTTACCACATTGTTTGCTTAATGGTAGTGGACATTTTAGTTATGCCAATTTTTTTTTTTTGATAAATTAGGTGATTCAGAGATCTTTCAAGGAAACTGAATTGGAGAATATTGAGAGCATGCGCATTAACTGCTACTGCAATCTGAGTGAAGTCGTGAAGAGGATATTGATGAAACTGAATCCAAATGAAGTAGAGGAGTTCAGAAAGACAGTGTTCGGATGGGTTTTGGATGTGGACGAAATGAAAAAAATCAGTGGTCAACTGCAGCTCGGTTTTCTATGCAACTATGTGAAGAAGGTAAACCACATAAAAGAGACAGAAGCTATTCGCTTCCACATCCAAAACAGTGTAATTAGCTTTACCAAAAAAGATTTATGCATGGCACTAGGATTGAAAATGGATGCTGTGAAACCAAATTTAGAAGAGGAGATGAAAGGACCTTTCTGGGAAAAATACTTTGGAAAAGCAAGTGTGAAAAGAAGAGAGGTACAAAATGCATTGATGGAATATAATAGTGAAGAAGCAGGAGTTGAACGAAATGATGGTGTGAAGCTTGCTCTACTCCATGTGCTATCACATGGATTATTTGGGAACCAAGTGGCTAGGGAATTACCAAGCTCTTATGTGAATCTGGTAGAAGATTTAGAGGCATTCAACACATATCCATGGGGTGAAGATGTTTGGGCAGATTTGGTGAGCAACATGAGGACAAATGCCAAGAGCCTTAAGAAGTGCAAGGGAGAACGTGTGACTGTACCAGGATGTCTAATAGCAATACAAGTCTGGGCGTTTGAAACTTTTACAGGGTTGGCAAAGGCAGATATATGCAAGGTAATTGAAGGGAGAGAAATGTCAATTCCAAGAGCAGTGAAGTGGGAGTTCCTAAAAAAGCCGCATTTAGAAGTTTTCTGCAACATAATCTTCAAAAACAAAGAGGTAAATCCGCTTACTACCTAAATATTTAAATAGCATGTGAACTTAAAACTTTTACATATAAACTGAATCTTTGTGGTGTTTTCATGCAGTTTGAATGGGAAAGGATGCAGGCTACAAGTTTGGAAATTGAAAAATTTCCAAATTTGCGGCCTAATACTGGTGGCATAGTTGGAGAGAGAATTGAAAGTGTGAAGTTATTCGAAAAAAAAGAGAAGAAAGGGAAGCAGAAAAATACAAGGATTGGGAGAAAAAGAAAAAATAAAGAAGATGTGCAGGAAGAGGATGATGATGATAAAGGCACAGTGGGCTTTGGCTATGAGAGGAAAGTTAATGTTGTGTTGAGACAGGTCAGGAAGCTTAGCAAAGAAAATGCCAAACTAATGGCAGAAATGAAACAATTCAAGAAATCACAGAAGAGGCTTGAGAGATTTCTTAAGCAAATATTGGAAAGGTTAGATAACCAAGAGAAGGGTAAGCAGATAACTGAGGAGAGTACAGATGAAAGCACTGAAAAGGAGCGGGAAGAATCAAATGAAAAATCAGAGAGTGAAGATGACAAGAATGCTGAAAGCACTGAAAAGGAGCGGGAAGAATCAAATGAAAAATCAGAGAGTGAAGATGACAAGAATGCTGAAAGCACTGAAAAGGAGCAGGAAGAATCAAATGAAAAATCAGAGAGTGAAGATGACAAGAATGCTACAGCTTCTGAAGATAATGCTGAAGGTGAGGTGGAAAGCAGTTTGCCAAATTTTAATATTTTTGGACCAGAGACTCAGGAGAAATTAAAGAAAGCAGATGAAGGTGAAAGTGTGGAAGAAAAAGAAGAAGGAGATGCAACTGAGGCAAACAAGACTGTTGACAAGAATGCTATAGATGCAGTAACCGAGGGTGGAGTAATGGAAGAAGAAGTTGAGAAGAATGATAAAGATGCAGCAGAGGAGGGTGCAAGAATAGAAGAAAAAGAACAAGAAGCAAGTGAGAAAGGTAAAAACAATGTAAATGATAATGATGCTTGGGGAGATGTGAACACACAATTTGTGAATGAAATGATCACAAGTGTGGAAGAAGTAGAGAAACAGATGCTAGGGAGTAATTCAAGAAAAGAGAGCACAAATGCCAACATCAATGTGAAAGCGGTAATATCTTTTATCATACCTTTAATAAATAATTTTTTAAAAAATGAATACCTCTATGGTATATGGGATGTGCTGAGTAGTTTGTGTTTTTTATGTGTTGGGTTTAATAGCAGGATAGCGGAAAAGGAAATGAAGAGAATGAAATGAGGGAAAGCATGAGCAAGGGTGAAGAAACAGAAAAGGATGTAAGTATATTTTGGAATTAATTACAAATATTTGGAAAAACTGCCAAACATTTGGAAAAATAAATTGTAACAGATTACTAATTTACAGGTGAAAACCATATGCGCACAAGTGAAGAGACCAAAGCGCACTGCAAGGACCCCAGACAGATATACACCTGCAGAAAGTAGAATTCAGGCAAAGAGAAGAAGGAAGGAAATAGCAAAAAAAAGGGATGAGGAAACTTTTTTTCCTCCAAGAGAATATGGACCGTTTGCGGAAGACCCAACTGAGCAACCACCAGTAGAAGAAATGAATAAGGTGGCAGAATATCTGAAAGTTGGACTGTTGAAGAGACTGACGAAAAAGGACGGTGATAGAAAGTACAGAATGGATGAGGATAAGATGCACGGTGTCCCATTTCTTCTGGATATGCACAAAATAGAGTCCAAAACGTGGTTGTACAAGTTGTTTGTCAATCCAGAATGGCTAGATGATACGGTAATGCTTTACTTTTACTATTAAAAAAGTATGTTGCAGATGTCTTAGTAAACTGTCATTAACATAGGTACTGTGATAAATTTTTAACATTTGATTTTGGTTTTAAAATTGGTCTGCAGCATATGGATGTGGGAATGTTTTACTTGAATATGAAACAAGTGCACTACAAGTTGAAGGGCCCCAAATACACCACATGTGGACCATTTTTTATGCAGGTGCTCAGGCGTGAAAATGAGGCAGTTAAGAAGGGTGAGGAATCATTCAAAACTGCAGCAGACAATTCGATAATTGCAGACGATATCTTAGGGATTGCTTATCCTTTTGATCGGAGTTGGGCACAATCAGACTTTGTTTACATACCTCTCAATACCGGAAACCACTGGGTACTACTAGTTTTGGAAGTAAAGGAAAGAAAAATAAGGATTTACAACTCCAACAGCAGAAGGGCAGATTCTTTACGCGAAATTAGGCCTTATGTGCACAGCATTGAGTGGTTCCTGCCAAAAATAATGGACATGCATGGAGTGTATCAAGACATTGGGCACGAGCCGATGAATGAGAAAAAGATTGAACTGGAAGCTGTGGAGGACTGTCCTCAACAAGATGATGGGTAATAAATCACTTCTTAACTATTTAGTTGGACTATATCATAAATTAGAGTAAATTATGATATTTAATTGACAATGTCTTTTTTTGTTTTTTTAACTGCATGTGATATGATAATGACAGAGGGAACTGTGGCATGTATGTTTTGAAGTTTGCTGAATTTCTTATGATGGGGATGGATATAAAAGAGGTTGCCTCACTGGACATGAGCATGTATCGGCAGAAAATGGCAACAGAGTTGTTCTTGTATAACGCAAAGAGGACAAAGGAATGTAAACTGAAGGAATCTTAGAGCAGTATGGCAGAAGACAAAGTACAAGGCTGGTGTGATGATGGTTTATGGATGAATATGTTTTTAATATTTGAATTTTTTGTAATGCTGTTTGATTGTTTTTTGCAATACTGTTGACATAAACTTACTTTTGCGAAGCACAATATGCTGACAATATATGTGGCATAATCTCATATACTATGTTTTGAAATGCCTAAACATTGGCATTTTTTTCCAGAAAATTATATTTGGTTTATTATGTAGTCACATTGATACAGATTGACATTTTTCTTAATGAGACAAGTATTATACCAGCATCTGGAAAAGGTCAGAGTTCAAAAAAGCATAACATGTACAAAACTCAATTAAAAGTTCACTTGGGTATACATTGGGTTTTTAATCATTGAGACAACTCGATATGAATAAGCCTAACAGCTACAGTACTGAATTATAATAAAAAGTGAATACATGTATTTACTTAGAAGAGATTCATGAGCTGCCAATATATGTGGCAGAATGTAGTACGTAATGTTTGAAAATTCCGAAATATTGGCAGTTTAGAGGAATAAAACATAGAGCCCATAATGCCAATAATATGGAAGAAAAACGAAATTGTGAATGAATGTAACAGTAATGGTGTGAATGCAAAAATAATGTAACGTCTATGGAATACCTTAATAGGTACATGTAAACAAGGATTAAAATTCTAAGAAAATGGAAAAATTATGAGTTGTAATGTGGAATGGAAGGATTGCTATTAGGGAATAAATAATTTAAATGTGGAAAATGGACAAGATTAATCTCAACTATCATTGACCTAATTTAAATAAGAGATAATTACCCGTTTAAGACTAAAAGTGGACACATATGCACAAATAGGACTCAAAAAAGTGGACACATATGCATTATAATCATAAAACGGCCATAATGCCAAATATATGGAAAAACAGCACAGGTATACATATGCATTATAATCATAAAAAACATACTAGTGACAGACATTTGATATTTAACACAACACAACAATAACTGCAGATTGGTGGTTTACATGTATTAGAGTAAAGAGTAAAATTGTATAATATGGCCCAAGAAGCTTATTGGAAATACAAAATAGAAAGTGTTTAATACAGTGGAATCATGATTGACTATCTACGACACGCATGGCATTGCGACAAGTCTTCTTGTTATGGCCAACAGCATGACAACGAGAACATCTTTTACGTTTGGTACTGCAATGTTCACCGATGGATGGAATTCTAGACTTTTTTGGGCGACCAGCAGGTCTTTTCTCACAAAGGGGTGGCTTGCATTGAATACTCAAAACGTTGGAAGGAATCAACCAAGATGCTGCATCACAGATTGGGTGCATGACACCATTCCATGTGGAATACCAGTAATGACGTGTGTAGTATGGGGAAATGTAATCATAGCAAGACAGTTGAGGTCGAAAATTGATAGCAGCAACTGCATGAACGCAAACAAAATGAGAAAGTTGAAACTCCCCACATGTACATGTCTTGGCATTGAGATCAACAACAAAGGAGCGTGAATGCCTATCAATCACTTCAAACTCCAAAAATGAACACGGCTTGACCTGACATAAAAAAAATGCAAATTAATATGATATTTGACATTGGGAAAAGCAAAAATAGAAATCATGAATTCTGAACACGATGGCAGAAACAAATAATACATTTATGAAAATGCCAAAATTGTGGCAGTAATATGAATAAACAAACAAATCAGAAGTGCAGAACCAGAACTAACCCTCAGTCTGCTAGCTTGACTCTGAAGCGCAACAAGAACCTTCTCACGTTTTTTTGACAAAATAGTTGTTGTCATTTCAGCCTTTTCTTTTCTCTCAGCAAACCATTGTTGCATCCTTCCTCTCAAAAAATCAATAAGTTTGGAGACAGAATACTCCCTTGCTGAAACGTCAACATTGTTCATTGACTCCGCACAGTTTGATGTCATTATATCATACCTCCGAGGACCGGACATGCATTTAGCCCATTTATGACTGCCAATTTTATCTAGCCACGGCCGTATACGGATATCTTCAGAATCCAACAATGACATATACTCTTCGTACTCCTTCACAGTTGCAGCCATATACGCAGCTTTGAACTTCCAACATAAATCAACTGTGGAGCCCCTAAATTTAGAAATCATGTTACGACGCAAATGCTCAACACAATAGCCATGACCAGCGTGGGGGAAAATACGTTTAGCTGCACTAATCAAGCCCTTATGCCTATCTGATACAATGTACATGTCCTCACGGAACATCAATGCTTCACGAACTTTAGAAAAAAACCACAGGTAAGACTCTTTACATTCTGCATCACATATACCAAAGGCTAGGGGGACAATGTGGCCATTTGCATCCTGTGCACAGGCTGTGAGAAGCGTACCCTTGTAGTAGGCCTTCAGAAATGACCCGTCTACAATTAGAACGGGTCTGCAATATTTCCATGCCTCTCTCCAAGGTAACAGGGACATGAAAAAATATTGGAAGACATCATCATCTGAAGTTGTAAGAGAAATAAGGGAATCTGGATTTGCCTTTTCAAGAGCGTAAGCCAAAGCCGGTAGCATTTGGTAGGACTCAGAATCTGATCCAAACTGTTTCTGCATAGCTATCTTCTGAGCTCTCCATGCCGTCTTGTAAGACATGGAAATCCCATGGTTCAGGAGCATGTCTTCTCTTATTTGGTTTGGCGTATAAGGCTTTCTTGAAGCATCCAAGTATTTATGAGCTACAAGATCTGCAATAGTCCGGTATGTTGCTTGGCGATGTTTGCCTTGCCTGAAATCCATAGAGCATGTGTGTAATGATTTAAACCTGTCAGGAAAAATACAAAAAAATTGAATATGTCAAGTAGTACAATTATGCCAAAGTATTGGAATAAAACTGAAAGACAGAAGAGTTAAGGACATGTAAAATAATGAGGGAATACCTTCGGATCTGAAACATTTGGACACCGCGTAGTCTAACAGCCCTCACAGACCATTTACATTTAGAATCCTTACAAACAACATGCAAACATTTCTTTCTTGATGTACGTGTCTTGAATTGGAAAACATTGTCTATGGCATACAACCTCAAATGGTGAAGAAGAACTGCTTTGGATTTGTAAATAGCATGCAACAAAATCTGAGTTGGGTGATAGTGAGTGATCAGGTCCAAATTATGAGGAACAAAAGATGTCTCATTATTTGTGGAAAAAGAAGGTGATGGACAAGGGCTAACATCTGGTGTTGGACTACGAGATATAACACATGTGTTGCTCATATGACTTTGGAAAGCATCAATAAAATTGGTTTCATTGTTGGCAGTGATGTATTCTTGTTCAGTATAGCTTGTGGTAAGAATGGAAGAACGAATATGACTAGAAGATTGGTTTGATGAAGAAGGAATGTTAGATATAACACTTTGTGGAACAGAAAGTGTGGGAGAAGAAATGATGTCAGCCGAAAATTGAACACACAAGGGAGATTTTTGAAAATCACTTTGAAGAGACTTAAGATTAAGGAAAAAACGAAATGTATCCTCATCTTGGATAACAACTGGGGGAGGACAACCATCAACCATGTAAGATAACTTGAAGTCCTTATTTGGTTTGTAAGGAGAAAATATAGATGCTAGTTGTTCCTTGAAAGCTGTGTATGTAGCAGAAAAGCAAACTTGCATGGCATAGATGGCATTGCAATTGAAATTATAATCTGTGTCCCAACTCCCGTCAACTTTTACCATAATCAGTATAACAGCATCCATATTCATAACTAAGAAACATAAGAACAACACAATTGCATCAGGGATGAACAACACATAAATTAATTTTCATGTAATGTAAATGATACTGCCAAAACGGTGGCAATAACATACATATAAAGCCGAATAAACTTTTGCATATTATAATTAGCCTTAAATTCGTGATCGATTTCTCAGACAATACGGTAAAATTTCATTAAGATAGGAATGATAGTCATGATCAAAAAGCGAAATAAAGAGCAACAAATTGAAAAACAAAATCAACGATGATGCTCATAATAACAATAAAAAGTATGCAGAATTCATGTGCTAACCTTAAAAGCATGAAATTTAATACAGAGATAATCCAAAGCAATCATTCTGTTCGTTAAGTGGGACATGAACAATAAACAGTGTAATCGCTAGCGTAGATTTTACATACCGGAAAGTTACGTTGTTGTATGGAAGACGAATTGAAGATCACGCGCTTAATTTGGAACTCTGAAAGCTAGGTTTGCGTAAACTTGCAGAGAAGAACAAACTGAACGCAGGAAGGAAGAAGAAGAAGTAGGCGCGCAACTGACCGGAGAATAAAGAAAGGAAACGAATAAAAAAACGGTTAAGGCGGCTTAAAATATTTCAGGGGTAAAACGGGAATGGCGATTTGGTCATGTTTCCTAATAAGACCAATTCGGTCTTATTTGAGCAATAAATTATAAGTGGTCGTATATATGAATTTGGGAAGGTTTTTGATCCTAGTTGCAGCAATTACAATTTTAATACCCGTATAACTACTCCGTATAAAATTAGCACAGTAAAGTGTGCTGTAACGATGATCATAGTACTACGGTTGCAGCAGTGATCCTCAACGGTTGTAATCCTCGCTTACTTTATTTTACCGCGGATTTTTTTGTGGGGGGAAAGGGTACGGAGTATAAACCCCCTTATTTTTTATTGTAAAGTATAAAATCTCAATAAATATCGTATCTTTAGCCTGCATAAGTGCATAACTGTATCCCTCACTTAAATTTACCATTTGACTTTTGAGTCAAAATTATTAAACTTTGACTATTAATTAATTAAAATTCACAAAATTTTATTACAAAAAATATATTTTATGTGCTTTATTGTAATATGTATTTTTCAAATGTTAATTTATTACTCCTTATATATTATATGAGTATACATTTATATATAATTACAATATAATCAAATATCCATCTAGAAGGCCATAAAATCAAATAGTGGACGGGAGGGAGTAGTAAAATCGGAACTGAATCATATCTACAATCAACTATGCTTAATGTACACATAATTTGTATACACTTGACACACTTTTCTGTCTACACATATAATCCTTTTTTTAACGAGTTACTTGTCTACACAGGTAACTAGGGGGTGTACACATTTTGTGTATATTTTACACTCGCCTATGTTCACATACAATTGTTGGTTTTTTCTAAACCAGATGTCTATGTATATAGGAAAGTGTGTACAAATTATGTATACATATATAAAACTTTTCAACTACAATTGATATGAGAGATGAATACATTCACCT